AGACTTAGGGCATTTTTAGATGCCTGTATTTATAACTCAATTTAAATTTTAGAAAGGCAAGTTAACAGCAGTAAGGACCACTTAGCCTGCGCTATTTTCTAATTGCAATAAAAATATGTACACATAATCTTCAGTTGTTTTATGAATGCACTGACTCCCTTGTTGAGGAGGAGTTGTGTGGGTTCATAACACTGGAAGTAAATGTCATTTAATATGTACAGTTGGTCACAGTATTGGATAAACTATAGACAGAGATCCAACTCAGAGGAAAAACAGGCCTTCAGGCCAGCTGCTGCTGTGTCACCTGTGTAAATGAGTGAACCTCATTTAGTGGGTCATGCAAGCAGGAACAAACGGGGCAGGTGGCAAGGGAGTGGGAAAGGCCACTTCCAGCCCAGCACTCAGTAGGGTTTGTGCCAAATAGCTTCGTCCCTGTTGTGGGTATATTTTGAACTCCAGTTCAGCTCAAACTCGGCTGAGCTGTGATCCAGGAGCCTCTACCTATCGTGCAAACAAGATACTGTCAGTCTAGTGATTTGGCAGCACTTTGCTACTTTGGGAAGCCCCAGCTCTCAAGCCAACGTATACTCTAGGAGCTCTAAGTTGGAAAAGAAACTCCAGTGGGTAATGCCTGGTGACTTAACTACTTTCTTCTCTGCATTTCCTGAGTTCTAAAAATAACATTTTGTGTGTGGTTAACCCTGGTGATTTTGATATCTGGACTCTCTTGCCCATGTGTCTTATTTATTGCTTCTTTGTGAAATGGACAAGGTGAGGTTAAAAGAATGGTGTCTTTTGAAAATGCTTTGGACACCACTAAGGTGATGAGTGAGCTTTGGCAGGGGCTGCCCAATCAAGAAATCTGCTGCGGTGCCTTATTTAAGAGCAATCTAACAGAGTGAGGAATTAGCATTTAATGCAAGGGAAACGTGCAATGTGGGTGGGTCATGCAGATGGATTTTGGTAGGGAGATGAAAAAGGTTTCTGCAGTCACAAACACTAAAATCGCAGTCGTGGTACTTGACTGTTAGCAGGCAGGAGAGATGTTAAATCTGATCTAAATCAGTGCTCATTTTTTCCCCAGATGAAAATGACTACTTATGAAAGGTTAGAGGATTTATGGGGGTGTCAAAACATATGGCAGATGGGCTGGATTAGGACTCATGAGTATAGTAATCCAAATTCTTTCTGCCAAGCATTACAGAGAATCTCTTCCTGCTGCTGGGCTACACTAAATGTACAGTCAGAGGAGCACAGGCTGTCAGAAGGCTCAGAGGAAGAGTTGCTAGTGAAAGTGCTTGTCTGAGCAGAGTTCATTTTCAAAGCACTTTCTTTGCAGGCAAAAGCCATTGGGGAACTGATTATATTATTTAATTTTAATAAATTGCTGTAACCAGTTTTGGTTTTTGTTTTTTTTTTTTTTTTCTTTTTCCTTTGGTTTGGTATACAAAGCCTGGAAGAAACTAAAGCCAAAATGTGAGCTAAGCTTTTCTAATTATCTCTGACTATATTAGTATAGAAAGGTAAAAGCTGTGCAAAAGTCATGAGTGTTGAGAGAGGGGAAAAAGGGGAAATGAGTTTGTCATTCCCCTTCTGAGCCAGCACTATCTACGTGTGATTTTTTTCAAACAAGCAAACAAAAAAAAACCTGAAACCAATAAAAAGCCATCCTACTTTAGATTTTTATGACAGAAGTTTCAGTGCTAGGGACAGTTTTGCTCCTGGTTTTAGACTGAGTCCAGAAGATCTCCTCAGAAATGTGAAAATTCACAATGGCAAATCAGTGTTACACAGATTATTGGTAGCAGTATTTAACATGTAGTTGATTTTAAAAAGATGTAACGCTACTGGCTTTTGAGAAGATCCATGTCGGAAATATTTCTGAGGAAGGATGCAAACCATGTGTGTCTGTGTCAACAAGAGGATATTTGCACTCCACTTCTGTAGTCAGTTAATTAAGCTAAAGAATCCATCAGAGCTCCTTTTCTAACTATTTTACAGTATGACAAATAGATACGCTAGTGCAGAAAACCACCTACTTGGGTATCTCTGAGCTCCATGAGCGAACATAAGATATTTCATTTGATGTTGGTGCAAAATGTTGGGTTTTTTTTTAAAAAAAGTTTTATTAAAGCATGGAACACAATGCTGCGTATGGATGTGTTTTGTTCTTTGTAGAATCAGGAAGTGTGAGGATCCGGACCTCACAGATCTTAAATTTAATCTTAAAAGAGAGGCTGCAAATAGTTAGTCCAGCAGTGAGGATGGATTAGCTCCAAGGTACAGATTGTTTGCATTCTAGGGCTAGGAACAAGAGGCAAGCCTTTCATTGTTACTGTTTTATGATTTGTGAAGAAGATCTGAAAGTTTTTAGCAGGTTTCACTATTATCCATGAGGAATGGCATATCTGCTCTAGCATGGTTTTGTTGAAGGACTTTGTAACGTGAACTTTCTCAGCATTTAATTGAAAAGCACAATTGTTAGATCTTTAGGAAAGAGAGATTTTCTTCCAGTTGTTAAGTAAGTATTAACAAAATAAGAAAGCAGTCTAAACAATCCATGAAAGCTCACTTCTCATCTGTTAATCAAGTTTCTCTTGCTTAATATTTGGGATGTCTTAATCTTTCAGGTGGTACGTGGTGTTCCAGCCAAGACCTGCTTCAAATTTCTAATTAAAACAAAAAAACCGAAATAAACAAAAAACCCTGTCTTTTACTTCCCTGCCTCTCTCTCTTTCTCTCTCTAAGCAGCCTCCTCTTACAAGACCATAGAAGGGTGTATAAAAAGAGCCCAAAATGTCACATTTAACATTTGAGAGTAGTTCATATGCATATTTGAAGGAAATGAGTTTGAAAATAATTGAGCCAGAGGTGTGGGCAGAAAAAATTTTGTGTAGCAAAATATGACAAGAATGAAAGGACAAGTTGAACCAGGGACATACGTTTTTACTATGAGGGCATACTTGCAAATCCATGAAATCTGCATGATCTTTTTATTCCAAATATAAACTTAGTTGAGAGTTTTGGTAATAACCAGTTTACACAGCTTTATAACATTAAAAACCTTTAAACAGTCCTGGCAAGCAGGGATGAAACAGTATCTGAGATGAGTTGTGAAGTATTATCCAGCTTAGAAACAAGTAGGCTGCTGTAGGTTGTTACAGTAGGCTTTCCAGGGAATATATTCATCATAAAGTGTAGTTGTGGGTTTTGATTGATTTATTACCAATGTTGATTTTCCACTATGTAGAAATATACAAAAGCTAATAAATCAAACTGGATTTAATATGGCAAATGAAATATGTGGACTCGGGCTTTGCTTCATGTATGAAAACTGCCAGCATTTTTTAGGAGGTTCTGATGCAAGTATGTAAATATTCTCATTATAAATTTGCTTGCTCTCTACTGTCTCTATTGAATTCTTCAAAATTGAACAAATTAGTCTAACTTCCATAAAATATTTTAAACATCACAAGGAGAAACTCAAGTAGGAATATGAAAAGGAATGCATTCTTCATGAGATATGCAGATAGATAAATAATGGTGACTAGACCACATCGTGGTTACTGGAACATCAGTTACCTGACAGTAGAAAGCTATTGATAATTGATCTAGAATGGAGCAACATGATCGTCTGTATTTCCTGATATTATGGGGGAGAGTCCCCTCACAAAGGAGAAAAATGAACTGTTAGAAAGAAATACGATAAAACATTCCAGTGTGAGGTCCTGCTTCTGAATAACTGAGGAAACATTGAATAACCATCCCAGGAATGTGTTGTGTGAGATGGAAAAACCAGACTTAATAAAATAAAAAATGATTGACAAATAATTCCTTCAAATAATGGGGGAAAAGATGATCAAAGTGCTTATACTGTATCTGGAGCTATTTGGCAAATAGTTTTTCTTCTCTTACAAAAGACATCTGAGAAATTGAAATATAAAAATACACATATTTTAGCTTTTACAGATTCTTCTGCAAAGAGAGAGTAATCCAAAACAGCTTTCATTTAGGGAGCCCATGTAATTGAGAGCAGAACTTAAGCTCATCAGTCCTAGAAATAGGTGAGAAAATCTTGATTCCTGATTCTCATTTAGGCAGAAGTGGTATGTTTCTGCAAACATTTGAATTTGTAAGAGCTTTTGGATGTGGTGGAAGGGAACCCAGCTCCAGCTGACAAATGTTGAGTTATTCCATAAGTAAGTGGAGGTTCTTTGAGTTGCTAGCATGATGACATGGTTAGGTGGAGGCAGCTGCATGCTTCACATAATATTATTTAGATGGATATGAAGATATGAAAGATTTTAGAGCACTTATTTAATATGATGGGCTTGAAGAAAAAACCCAATATATTGTTTGGCTGTAAGATGCAAAATGACATGCAGATCTGAGGACTCCAAATGGTCACTGTACTTAATAGGTAGGAGCTGGAAGACCTAAAAATTGAATCAGTGTCTATTTTCCTCTCTTACCTTCTTGGAAAGTTTTTTTTTTTTTTTTGGTTCTCAGGTGAAATACCTTAGGAGGGACTTTAATTAGGGAAAACAGAACTGGAACATTCTTTAAATTTTAAAAATAGTTAAGGCAAATGGGTGTTTTGGCCACAGCCAGGAGCAAAGAAAGGATTTGGGATGTTATGTAGGAACCATTGTAAAGTTCCATAAATTCCTCTAAAATAAAGAGTTTTCAAAGGGTTAGACAACTAAATCTTAAGCAAGGACTGACAGCCCTAAGATCTTTAAAGGCCTGACTGGTACAGGCTTGATACAGCTTAAATGAAAGCGTCTATTCTCTTAGTCTATGGTCAACATCATACCCCAACATTTTGTGAATCAGTTGTCAGAGACCAAGATCTATAATGCTTGTTTGCATTACCAGGAAAAAAAAAAATGTATCAGCTATTTCTAGGTTCCTTTTCTTTATAATTTATGGAATTAAACACCTGGTGTTGCTTTTAACTGATGGGCCTTTTGGTTTTTGTTTTCATTTTCTTCTTTCAGAGAAAGAATTTGACCCTCTTCTTCAGCATTTGTTTATTGACTTCCTGGGGGACTGCACTGCTGGGTATCCGCTTATACTGGATGGGCAACAAGCCACCAAGTTTTTCCAATTCTGACAATCCAGCAGCTGACTCAGACAGTTTTCTCACACGTACTCTGACCTTCTTTTACCTGCCAACCAAGAACCTCTGGCTGTTGCTGTGCCCAGATACCCTCAGCTTTGACTGGTCTATGGATGCCGTGCCTCTTCTGAAAGCAGTCGGCGACTGGAGAAATCTACACACTGTGGCCTTCTATGCTGGACTCATCCTCCTTGCCTACTTCAGCTTGAAGGGCTCCAGCAATGAGAGAGAGTGCAACGGGAGAGCTGTAATGAACGGCAAGCAGAATGCTAATGGGCATAGCTGCCACTCAGAGATGGAGTATAAGACACTGGAAGTGAAGTCAAGCTTTGCATCAAAAGAAGAGAATGGTATAAAAAAGCATGAAACGCAGAAACTGCAGCTTCCTTCAACTGAGAACATTGTCATTCTGTCTCTGTCTTTGTTAATAGTGCCCTTTGTTCCTGCCACAAACCTATTTTTCTATGTTGGCTTTGTAATAGCAGAGCGTGTGCTGTATATTCCTAGTATGGGCTTCTGCCTGCTGGTTACAGTAGGTGTCAGGGCCCTTTATGTCAAAGCCCAAAAGCGCTTTCTGAAGAACTTGGTTTTTTGTTCAACAGCTGCATTAATTGTTTTCTATGGACTCAAGACTGTTGTCAGGAATGGGGACTGGCAGAATGAGGAGATGCTGTATAGGTCAGGGATAAAAGTAAACCCTGCTAAAGGTAATTTTTGCTTTTTTATGGTGGATGTTTTATTTATTCCTATCTGTCTTTGCCTTTGAATTGTGTGATTTTATCAACTATATCTAAAGAGGATACTTCAGGAAATGACCTTTTAAGTTGCAGTAGAATGTACAGTAGTAAAAAATGAGGAAAAGCAGGAATGTGTTTTGATTAGGTGTTACAGGTTTGGCATTAACATGGAGAAAATGAGACCCTCAGGTAAGAGGCTGCTTTCTTTTTCATTGATCTTAGTTCTGTGTTTTGGAATTAAAGATGCATTATTAGTATTATAGACTCCACCCCGATAATTTTCCATTTGGAGTCTGGTATCTATCACACTAATGAAGGTTTTTCATATGTTCACCAAATGTTCTGTTCTCCATGAGTAGAAAATATGACAAATAGTAAACGACAGCATCAGGGAGGTGCTGGTTTTTTATTTCATCTGATGCAAATAACGTCAATATTACATAATAAAAATGAGGAAATGAGGTCATATTATTCAGCTTAGGAAATGACTGTAGTTCCTCCTGCGTACAAGTACTGTAAAGAGTTATTGTCAAATACTTATGCCTTCATGTTAATGTATAAATGTCAGCTATTCGTAACATTGCCCAGCTACTTCTCTCCAAGGGTGTATCTATACTTTAATGAAATGTGACTACAGCTTGTGTAAACACATCCAAACAGGCAGTAAACCGGCTAGTTTGGGGATCAGTAACGATGTTTAGCTGTGGCTCTGTGGTTTCAGCATATATGGCAGATCCAGCTGCAATACTGAACTCCATGCTGCCTGGCTGTACTACTCTTGGCACATGAACAAGTTTATATGAGAACAGTCAAAATACCACCTGTGAGTGCAATGTAGGCATTGACTAAACCTTCGTTATTCACAATTCATCAGAAGTGAGAAGGGATGACTTGATTGCTTTGCCTTTCTGTAAAGAAAAATTTGACAGCACTTAAACATATTGCACTTGAGTTTTTCCAGTTCTCTGCTCAGTAACCTATTATATGATGCAAAGTCATCTGCTGACAGATGTGCTTCTTGTTTAGACAGTTATCATGCCGTAGTCTAAAAGCTGTGGTAGTAAGAGGCAAATGCAGGTGTTACTGTGAGCTGACAGGGAGTGAAAAAGTAGATATGGCAGATAAGATGCTTTGCAAAGCAGCATTATAGTATCTTGTCAATCGTCAGTCTGAATTTTAAACTCTTCTTACCTGCTTTATTGCCCTAGGTAAAATCATTAAACTTATTGCTGCTGTAAGTGACCTTTTGTTAACTATGAACAAGCACATCCCATTTCTTTTACTTGTTTTCAAATTTAGAGCAGGAGGGCAAGAAATGAAGAGAACTAGCTGAACAGTGAGACAGCACACCAGAGTGATTATATGGTGCTGTGAGACTTACCAGTTTAGTCACAATATAAAGCTTGCATTAAAACATTGCATTCGTTGGAAAGAAAAGAGTATGTGTGCACTTGATTAAATAGTTAATGTGTGTTCCATTTTTGTCCTTGGTGGAGATCTCCATATACCCTAGACTGTATTAATAGTTGTCTGCTTGCTTTGAGCCAGTTTTTGTGATTAAAAAAAAAATAATCTAGTTTTTGTTCAATAGTAGGATTGGCTGCAGTGTTGTCTGGAAATTAGACTACTGAGTATTATGCTCTCAGGAGACAAGGCGAGCTATTTTCATCACACAAGTCACAGTATGCACAGACTTATGTATATATGATTGTCTGGTTTCTTGCCATATAAGCTGACATCAGGTTTCTTGTAAGATATGCAAAAGCAAAGACAGCGTGTCAGTGTGATGATATAGACATGACTGAGCTGACTGTAAATCTCTTTAAAATATCCTGTTAAACTTCTGCTGAATATTTACTAGCCCACACACATTGTAACAAGGCTGGGTATCTGAAACTCACAGCTAAAGCGACCTGTCACCCAATTCTATTCATTATTGTGAATACTTCCTAGATTATCCCTGGCTTTGACTATGCTAATTTTATTTTCTATTCCTCATACAATCAGGCAAGCCTGACTGGACTAGACTGGCTGCCAATCCTGCCAAAGCATTAGAAGATCAACAATTCAAACTACTCTTCAGTAATTAAATGAGGTTGACGTAGGAAAAACAATTTATTTTTGTTTGCCTCTTTTTTTTTTTTATAGTTTTATGAATGCTAGTGATAAATAGGCTATTCAGACAGTGAGACAATGGACTGCTGAGTCAAACGGTAGAGTGGAGAAGTGTTCTCCTTCCTTTTAGGCTGTTAAGAAGAGGCTGCCATTCCCTTTTTCTCTGTTTTCCTCAACTCGCAACCGTTTCTCCTCATGAGTGTTTTCTTATGTCAGATCATTTTTGAGCATCAGGATCACTTTCCGTGATGGTTCTGCTTTCCCTCACTCCTCCTGCAAAAAGCTTCCCCGTGTGAGAACTGGTAAAGAAGTAGAAATCCACGAAGACTGTTCGTTTTTGCTAAAGCAAGGAGCCGAGTATTTTGTTCCACATCCATCTGTATTCTGGCCTAGCAGGATGAAAGCCACTCTGTGGATGCTGTGCGACAACATTGAGCTGATCTGCTGTACTAACAAGGTCATTTGAGAGGCAAGTTATTAGCACAGGTGCATTTCTCTACTAATGCAGCTGAACTGCTTTGGAAATGGAGCTATCTCACATGGTGATGCTTTATAATCAGGTCCTCTGTGTTGTACTATGTGTAAGAATGTAATCTCCTCTGAGGCTGTGGGACTTAGAGGCAAAGTTGTTCAGTGGCTTCTCCATCTTCAATCCTCAGTGAAGAAATGGGCAGTCGGTGCCTCATCAGCACTTTCTTCTGGCCCCTCTCGGGCACCCTGCAGGCAGAGGAATCGCTTTCTGCCTCAGGTGAGAAAGCCTCTCCCCCCCACAGGCAGTCGCAACCTTTCTGCAATTTACATTTCTCCAGGCTGTTCTTGTCAATAACTAACAATGTGGAAAAAGTATTCAAAAGCGCAGTGCAAGGCTCCTCTCTCAAAAAACCGCAATACACCACAAGAGAGTCAAGGGAATATGAGGTGGTGCATCATCTCTGAGCCACCCCGCTTTGTGCCAGCTTTCCTGGCTGCCTCACTGGGTGGTGGGCAGCTGCTGGCCCTTAGCTGGTGGAGTTGTAGTGAGGACTTGGGGTGCCTCGGCTGCATCTGTTACTGGGCTTGTTCATCTGCTGTTTCAGTTATGACTAGTATTTCAAATATCTTTAAAGTTCTCTGACCCTTGCGTCGTTACAGTTTATCAGCAATTGAGGGAAAAATAGGCAAGATTGATTAGTGTAGTTTATGGATCTATAAGTGGCTGTATACATCTTTTGACACTAGGGAGGGAAAGGCACAAGTGTTTCTCTGTGCTGCCTTCAACTTAATGAGCAGCCCAACTGACATAAAACAGCTCACATTATTTGAGCATTTTTTCTAGCAAAGGAAGCCTCCCAAAATGTAAAAACAAACAAAAAAGGTAAAAATGGGTGGTAGCTGTCACGTCTTTTTTAATTAGACTGAGAGTCATTCTGTGGTGATGATTACCTTGTGTTTAATATAAAATTATAATGATACACAAAATAATTGTTCTCATTATGCCTTGTTATCTCTAGTTTTCTCTGTAGTACCAAAAGTTGGCTTCAAAAAGCATAATCTCTTTCCTCCTGGGCACTTTGTACCTTGCAGTCCACATCATAATGATCTTTGATGTTCAGATATATTTGCTGTGCTGTTATAGACACTGATTAAAGAAGTAGAAGATAGAGAGAGGCTTAAACTGTTAGACTGCTTCAGGAGTATTAATTGCTTGATCATATTTATGGATGAAATTTTAGTTTGCTGTCATTTGTCAGTGAGCTTTGAAGATCCTTCCTGGGACTAGTTGACCTGCTACACCAAGTAGGTGCTTAGTTTTAATCATGCATTCAAGTCTTCATAAATTCATATATGTGACTTCTCTTTTACAATGGAATGTACAAGAAACGGGTACTAGGCTGCTTCCAAAAGCAGTATTACCACATTATTGTGATTCTGTACCTGCTCTGCTAAGCTCTGTCTCACACATGGCACTGGTTTAAATTGGTATTAGAGCTTTTGGCTTCAGAAGCAGTTCTGCATGTTGCTCAGATATTTGTCTTTGTTCTGTCATGTATTAGTGTTAGTGAAATATCATAAGTTCACATCTTGGGCAGTTCAGTGGGACTTGCATATGTGATTCATTCCCTTCCTGACTCATTTCTGCAGGAAAAATAATAATAATAAATTCTCTATAATTGGAGTTGAATTGCTCCTGATAGGGGATTGACACAAAACTGAAAAAAAGAAAATAAGAAAATTAAAATTCTTTCTGGCAAGATCATTCAGATCAACTGTGGTCTTACAGAACTACTTGAGTTAAAAATCCTATTCTTAGCATCTTGCTTCTTACATCGATTATCCTGCTGTTCTCAGTGGGCAGCAATAAGACCAAGACATGGTGTTGACAGAGAATAATATGGAAATTGTTCCATAAGAATATAGAGAGCCACTTTTCTTCTATCTTTCCACTCTTCCTCCTACTCCCAGTTCTTATGAGTGTGAATCATTCAATTCTGCTTAATGTTTTCAGAAGATATTTTAATACTCAAATACTCTTCTGGACTACAGTGTTCCTTTTCCCTGTCCTAGTTTTCTTTTATTTTTTTCCTTTGCAACAGGGTTGTGAGATTTTCCTGCCTCATGCTGCTATATTTGTGCCTGTAAAGGCTTAAAGAACTTCCTTTGCTTTCTCGGCATCTTTAGCATAGCATTCAGCCTTGACTAATTTTACTCCCTGGAACTTCTTTGATAGTTTCCTTTTCCTTTGTCCTTTTTTTTCCCCCCGTGTTTTCTTTTTTATTTTTCTTTCCTTCCTCCTTATCGTTAGTTTATCATAGGATTGGTAAGGACTGCTTCTGTATGCATATGCGAATGTCAAGATACGAGTATGAAGTTCAGAT